AAAAAACATTCCCCCCAAAAAAGGGAATTTCAAAACCCCCCCCCCCCCCCCCCCCCGGACTAACACTATGAAAAGAGCACAACAGCACTTAGCTAAACTTTGACCCTGGCCACATGTAAACATACTGTCTTTCTTAGGTATTATCACTGTTACTCATTCCATTGTTGTCACTTCCTTGTTGTGTTATTGTGCACAATTGGTCTGATAACCCTCTCCTCCAACTATGACATTAAACAGACGCCTCCACTCCTTAAAACTTTTACTCCTAACCTTGATTAGAGCCTCCACATCATTTGAAATGTTTGTAATTCCAAATGAATAACAATAATTTTTTATTGATCAAAGAGGATTTGAATTTCAGAGCCTCAAATGAAAATATGAATCCCCTTCAAATTATGGACAGTTATAAAAGTAACACAGCACTTAACCTCGACCTGTCTAAATTCTTATCTATAGTGTCTGATACTCTCAAGTTGAAGTGGTTGAAATTATATACTTGAATCACTGATATGATTATTAATGCATGATGTGAAATTAATATTTCATAACTATGAGTTATCAGATCAAAGATGATTGAATTGCCTTTATTAAAAGATAATGCTATCTTCCTCCTTCATTCAATCTACTTTTTTGTCTGTCAATCTGTCTGTTACACAAATAAATAAATAAATAAATAAATAAATAAATAAATAAATAAATAAATAAATAAATAAATAAATAAATAAATAAATAAATTTATTTCTTTAAACAAATTCAATCCCAACTGGTAGGGCCTTTGATGGGGTGCGAGCTTAATTCTTCCTCAAAATAATTCTAAATTAAGATGCTTTTGTCATTTTTTCTTAAGACTTTTGATAAGCTATGCATGTGAAGCAGGGAGCAAAAAATTATTTTTTTACATAGGCCATTCATGTCGTCTATACATGCTCTAATATNAATTTAATCCGAACTGGTAGGGCCTTTGATGGGGTGTGAGATTAATTCTTCCTCACAATAATTCTAAATTAAAATGCTTTTGTCATTTTTTTAAAGACTTTTGATAAGCTATGCATGTGAAGTAGTGAGTCCAAATAATTTTTTTACATAGGCCATTCATGTCGTCTATACATGCCCTATTAATAAAAATCTGAAAACAATGACAGTCTATTATTCTAATATGGAGTCCAAAAGACAGTTGTATGGTTGCCTGGCTGTTGCCCAGTTTTAGGGTCCACACCATAAATTAATATCAACTGTCATTTCATACACAGTGAATACTACAACTGCATCCTCATAAGCTACGTCAAATATGGTTAAATGATTAATTCATACCACTGGAAGATGGTGTACATGTGATCAATACTTTTTACAGCATTACAAGCCATGTCTGTGATTTAATTAATAATGCAGGTAGTGGACTGAACGCAAAATAATTAAATGTTTGAAAATGTGTAGTATATAAAATTAATGGGGGAGCCCCCCCTCCCCCATTAAGTGCGGGGGCAAGTGTCCAAACCAAGACCACTACTAGTACTAAATTTCTCAAAATTTTTTCGATCATTTCGAGTATTAGAGAGTTATATCCGGTTGGTCTATTTTATATTAATTTTTGATAATGTACTTTACATATTTTTAAATACAAACATATTTATTAGTAATATGTAATTATATCTTCTTAAATTGCGAAAACCACCTGCAAATACAATATGTGATTCAACAAGAACCAGATATATCTCTATCAACCGTTTTTAACAAATCAGACTCTTACAATGGGAATTCTGAGAATAAATGTTTAGAATCTGCCATATAAAGAGAACAGAATATAAATTCTGAAGAGAAAATAAAAGCAATTTAACGTGACACAGACCAGCTTACCGGTAACTGATGCTCTTCGCTCGGATGAATGAACGAAGAGAGAATCGAGCAGACCATCCCTCTTCATGAATGAGTCATTTCAATCGAAATTTTCGCACAAACCTGGTCTTTCTTTGCTGAAAACTTACCCTTTTCTTATTCTCTGGTAATTGATTTCACTATTTTGGCCTCAAAAGTCTGTGATCGGTCAGAATACAACAATAAAGCGGCTCTTGACAACGTTATCAAGATAACTGTACAATGGCAGCCATATTTATGATAGAGGCTATAAATATCAGCCAATCAAATGCCGTTCCTGTGACCTATATTTAGTAAAAGGGGGTGTGCATCATTTCTATTTAGGTTGGCATATATAAACAGAAAACTGAAAACTTGACGGAAATTCCACTTTAAACCTTTACTATTAACAAAATAAGAGAAAGAGAGAGAGGTAATTTAAAACACCAATTCGAATAAAAAATTATTATTATTGTTCTTAAAACACATCACATTTGTTTATAAGAAGAATGTAATTACAGTATCTGTGACTCAAATTATGCCTGAAATAAATTCAAACACCAACAATATTTGTTTTCATATCGTAAGACAACTATAAAATGCATTCTAAAATAATGAGATACAAAACCAAACAGCTGAAAACAGAAACTGTCACAAATCTGTGTTTCAAATGGTCAAACTTGTCAATATCATCCAAACAGTTTTAAGCTAGCAGAAACCATGCCCCCCCCCCCCCCCAAAAAAAAAAAAAAAACCTGAGGCACTTCAAAATGACACAGTGACAAATTAAATAAGAAGAGAAATGCAGCATGATCTCAATAAATACATAAATATTAAAAACGCCCACAAATTCCCTGGCTTAAATATACACTACAAATATCTTTACATATTCTCTTAGGGTGCTTTCCCAGAGATTTAGATCGATCTAAAGATTAAGTTTTAGATCGACCTAACTCCCTGGGGGTTCACGCTAAATTGCAGTCAGCCGAGTGGGCACCATAGTTAATTACCCCCTTACAGCTTTTAGTAGGCGGGACAGACGCCGGCCAAGCTGACAGTAATCTAGTGAGACTCCGCACAGGGATAGATCGATCTAAAAATCTATTGAAATGGGGTGTTAGGCTGTGTTTTCATCTGAACCACCTTAGATCTTCTGATTAATTTATCTATAAAAACCATCCTTTTAACGGGAAAGAACTTTCATTTATTCTAATAAAATAAATAACATCAAATATGTCACTCTTTGCATATAAACGTAAATAAAAACAAGAAGATCACTGAACTCTAAAAGAAGTCCTCAGTCAAGGCAACAATTATCATAAATATATGCCATTTCTACTAAATTTAAAACAAACAACATTTTAGTTTACCAATTATTCTCGAAAACTCTTCTCCTTCAAATCTACATAGCTGTTAGGATTGTTTGTGTTCTTGAATATCATAATGATTGTTAGGACATATTCAAACTGCCATGAAGTCTTTCTGAAAAACTATAGATAAGAGGCATGTAACAACATATTTTCAACATATTTTCTTACACACTAAGACAGTGTTTTGTTGTAGTTGTGATAAGACTCATCGGGAGAGATGCAAAACAATAAAAGTCATTATGGACATTTTTTTTTCACTACATCAGATCACTGAACAATGCATTAAAACCCAAACACCATTTTTCCTTAACAAACCACATTTTCCTTTTCCTTAAATTTGGTCAATCACTTCATCTTATCGCCTTTACAAAGTTATTTCTATTCAATGCATAACAAAAAAGAGCCCAGACCTTATCACCCTGAATTTCTTAGATGACTGAAAACTCACTTCTATTACCAGCATTAATTTAATGAGTCTTTGTTAACATGCGAAACTCAATGAGGTTCTCAAAGAAACTGTCTCCTGAGAGCTGATCGGTTAAGATTTGAGATTTCTTAAACTTAGAAGCCAATCACAGAACCTTCTTAAAACTCTATACATACATGGTTAAACCCCTCCTTAGGTTAAGCCTGAATCCATATTCACAAAAGAGCTTTAGGCCAAAAGTTAATCTGAACCTTAACAACTAAATTTTGGTCTATTTTATTTTAAGAGGTTTGGGGCAAAAGTTGGTCATTTTAGAGTTAATGTGCAGCAGTCCATTATTAAAGGAGTAAATGTTTGTCTACATTAGCAACCATTTCTTTCTTGGCATAAAACGGCTGCAATATTTCTTTTTTTTTTTGCAATATTTCAATATTTCTACTTTCCATCTAAATTTCTATTGTGACACAGGTCCCTAAGGCCACCTTCAGAACAGCCGACTAGCAGATCCGTGGACCAAATATGGCTGACTCACTTGCATGCTTGTTGTGTAATCCCCACAGGGAATCTATTCAGTGTCTGATCAGGAATTAAGCTGAAAGCTTTTAAGTGGTCGCAATATTTTATCCAGGGATCTGTTAGTCCGCTGTACTGAATGTGGTTTAATCCTACTGCACAAAGTCACAGTTCTAGATTATATATCTAGCCCCTTCACGAACATCTACTATCACATCAAAACACATAGGCAGAATTCTTGAGCATCTACGTCCCAGTCAGCATCAGGAATCTTTTGTCATGTTCTCAACAAAACCATTGTGACTAAACCTGAAAGAACAATAACTTGTTACAGATATTTAAAAAAAATATTTAAAAACTGTGAACATACCAGTAGTGTAGGTTTCGGGGACAATTCTTATTTACCAATTAAAAGTTTTAAAAATCTGCAAATTAATCATATTGCTTTACCAATGTCTTAACACAAATGATTACATCTCAACCAAGATATCTGAGAATCAATGCGATTTTTTTCTTTAAATTAAGATCTTAAATATCCTTAATCATCAAATATGTAGATCTGGCAATAACAAGGTAAGATAGAAGAAAAAAGGGAAAGAAAAACAAGTAGCATCTTAAAATTTCCACCAAAAACTCACCTAAGACATAAGCAGCTATAAGTTTCTGGTTCACTGAGAGCACTAAGTATTCTGGCACTTTGATATTCTTGTCACCTACAGTTGGAAGCATGAGTGCAGCGATACACGCAATGGCCGCCATGATGATGACCAGGCTTGGACTAGTGGACTGAGATTGACCTAGGGACAGAAAAAAAAAAAGACAATAAATCTGGACCTAGATTTGATTATAGTGTGATTGTATCAAATGGTCTTGAAAGCTTTCAATTACAATGTTTGGTGCACAGGAAAATTACACAAATTGCATTGTATAACTACAATCTGCAGTGCATCTTGCAATTCTCACACCTGTTGTCATAAAAATCCTGTTGAGAAGTTGTGTTCAATATTCTGAGAGTTGCCATTAAAAATCTCCACAAACTACTGCTCTATAACAATCAATAGCTGACAAAACACTGGTGGCAGAAAAGGAATACATAAGAAAACTGAGTTACTCTCCCTTTTTTCTGCCCAAGTCATAAAGGAGAATTTCACCCCCCCCTCTCCCCCCCCCCCAAATACACACACATGCGCGCGCGCACACACACACACACACACACACACACACATCTACAGGACAGTGTACCTGGTCTTATAGGAATACTGAGTTGCTCTCCCATTTTCCCACCCGGGACAGTAGGAAGGCTTTCAAATGTGTCCTCAGACTTGACCTGGCTGTCCCGTGTGGGATAGAGGACTGATGTGACCTCCTTCTTCCCTGGAAATGTAACAGACACACACATCAACTTTTATATAGCTTTTCTATAGCTGTCCTCAGTAGAATTTTATCTCAGTGGTGGTTTCTTCCAAAATTGCCCATTTTTATCTTTGAGTTCAGAATGAAAATAACAGCGTGTAATACAGACAAAGGTGTCAAAAAAGGAAATATTATAAATATTGGGGAAAAAATTTCTTAAAACAAGCTGTATTTTTTTGGATAACTCCAGAATTAATAACAAAAAATTCATACCATTACACAAAATAAACAAGTAAAACACCTGTTTCAGTTTTAAGTAATTACCTGCCATTTTCCTAGATCCCTGTTCATACACCTGAATCCTGAACTTGTCAAGAACACCTTCATGTTTTATACAGATATCTACATGGCGTATCACACTGAAATCATAAGGAAAGGAGATTGACGACTGGTGGCATCATTAATACACGAAACATTACAGCAACTTTTCCTAGTATTTATTTATTTATTCCATTCCCCAACATATACTAAGGCATATCAACCCCACTTTTTATAACAATTTGACAAATACAGCTTTCACCTTGCCACGAGGTCTAAAACTGTTACAGTGATCTGAAATGCAATATGCTCTGAATTGCACAAGCATTTTCTATATACATAAATATTATGAACTTAATCCCAAATATTACCCCATATTGCCCCAAATCTTCACAAACATCTATCAGTGTTATACTTACACATCCACACAGCACCTTGGTTTGACTACTCCCTCTGGATCTATGACAGAGTATTTCTTAGGAGCAGTGCACTGGACTGGAACAGAAAGATTTCAAAGAAAGTTCAAAGAACAAGTGGAACATTAGGTGTACCATCAGTGACTGTATGATGTGTCTCCAGGGGCTCATTTCCGATTAAACTACTGGTTCTGTGTAGATCGATCCAACTCCGCAGGGACTCTTGCTGAAGGCAATCAGATAAACAGATGAACATGGCTCCTTCTGGCATTGAGTGGAATGCAGAAAAGCAGGTGATTATGCAAGCAGGTTGGAAACAAGAGGAGGCATGTTAAATTGCACTCAGCAAGAGTACCCGTGGAGTTGGATCAATCTACGTAGAGTGATCAAGCTTGCAGAAATTTTATGCATACTCAACTTTAAATCTCAGCACCATCTCAAAGCGATGAACAAAGTTATCACCAGTTTATGGGAAGACTGGTTATCAGAGTAAAAGACTGGGTAACAGAGTACAGAGGCATCATTTTTACACTTAACATTTTGTTACATAGCTCGTAAAAAACTTGTGTACACTCACCCTTAAATTTCAGTGCCATTTCATAGGGGTTGTACAAAGTGAGCACCTGTTTATGTGTGGACTGGTCGTCGGAGTAGAAGATTAAGGAGGAAGGGAAGACAAATACAGGGAGTTTTCCATCGCTGAGACTGGAAGGAGGGCTCTGCATCACCTTGGATAACACCTTCTATCACACCTGTCACTCATCAAGCCTCCACTACTGGTTTATCTGAATGTGTATGGAAATGTTAATTGTGGATGAATATATATCTGTGATTGCTGTGTTTATAATTAAATATTTATGGGCTGAACTTACAAATACACAAAATGAGTAGTGCTAATATCTCTCACATACAGTACTAGTACCAACTAAAAATATTTTTGAACTGCCAGGAAGAAAGTTTGTTCTTTGGTTATTATTATTATCAAAATGTGCAGAGGCCACTCCCTGTACACAAAATGAACTGAAGAAAATTACAATTCTCTACAGTGCACGGAATCAGTGAATATTCAACAATCACATCGGCTTTGGTAATCAAAGAATACATTTTCATCAGTCTGTTAAGTCTCAAAGGATGATTCAACATTAACATAACGGCTAGTGGCTACATAACCGTTCAAGTTAAGTTTATTGCGCTGCATTTTCTTTTTACATTTTTTGACATTTAACCTGTAGTTCTGACCTCACGGGGTCTCCTGCCAAATATTTTGACAGGGTAATTTATGGAAATTCATGACACAAATTATTGAATTTTCGGAATCAAAATGGCTATGTTAAAGTACTTACCGTTGTGTGCGTCTTCGGGCTGTGCTCTTTTCCAAATAAAACGGAATGTTTAGTTTCGGAGCGACGCATAAATTGATAAACGTAAGTTTAAATAGTGTGCGTATTGTTATTGTTATTATTCTGGTTGTGTGAACTACGTCATCAAAATTTGTGTTCTCGTAGAAAACGAGAACTCACAAAAACATGGGGATGAACAACATACCTGAGGACGATTGTAATTCTAACACCGGTCTGAATAAAAAACTAAGGTTTGCCAGCTGTTATTCTGAAATAAGACATTGCTTTAACACTGTGAAGAGTGGTAAATGAGTTTAATATAGCTATTAGCGATTAAATCTCTCTCTCTCTCTCTCTCTCTCTCTCTCTCTCTCTCTCTCTCTGTACATACATGTTATATTTGAAATCGATTTGATGTTGCTCTCACTTTTTTCAGTCATAAGCAATGGAAAAAGCTAAAAAGAAAGCTTCACAGACAGGCACTTGCCAAACAGAAGGAATCTGAAGGTCAGTCAATTAGTAATTTGATGAAATGTGTACACTGATAGAGAGGTAAAAGAATTAACAAATTAAGAGCAAAGAAGGGGGTGTCTGACACTTAAGCCTACATTTAGCGATGGGTATTCACCCTGTGCACCCCTGAAACTAAAGGAAACTATTCCTCAGTGTAGAGATGGGGGGGGGGGGGGGGGGGGGCATTTGTAAGAAAG